TTGAACCACCAGCCTTCTGATTAGCAGTCAAATGCCTTAGGCACTGCACCACCAGAGCTCCTCCATAGGGTATACTTGGCTATAATCTCTGTGGAAGCAGGTTGCCAGCCTGGCCTTTCTTCTGCAGTGCTGCTGGGGTGGGTTCGGACCACCAACTTTTAGGTTAAGTTAATAGTGGAGCACAAACTGTTTGGGCCATCCAGGGTCCTATAGTTCATATTAGGAAACTCTTATCTTGACTGTTTTGCAACTTGCATGTCCTTTTCCCCATTTCTGTCCCTACTAAGCCTTAACAACCTAAGGTTTTCAGTGAGGAAACAGCTCTAGAGCAAGGACACCCAATAGGCAGTGATAAGAGTCAGACCTTAAAATGTGAGGATCTGGCAAGTCACAGGGCAGGCAAAAACCCAAGTAGAAATCAAATGAACCCTGGTATCAAGATAGCACAAGGTGGAGTTACTTGAATTCTCCTAGGAACCCATGTCACAGCCTCCCAAGAACTAGCTTATGACTAGAGAGAGGGACCTCTACCAAAATAAACTTGGTTTCTAATCCCAACACTCTGTGTAACCTTGAGCAATTTGAATCGTGCCTTGGTCATTTGCATATGAGAACAGTTATTATTTAGCACCGGGTTTCCCCATGCCTATACTCTCTTTAGTAACCAAAGGGAATATATCAAAAGTATTACCTACTTTCAGGTCTAGACCTGAAATCACTTCTGTGGCTTCCAGCCAAATAGATATATAGGGTGAAAATTTACATCAGGTAGATACAACCCTTAGAACAATCAATCATGGGAAAACCTAAGAGCAGTATTTGCACAGGGAGATAGCTGGAGAGATGGGGCAGGAATGCATAGGAAAGGATGACACAGGGAAGAAATAACTACAGGAAGTGGGAAGAGAGCTGTTGCTGTTACATTGTGGGGAATTACAGTCAATGTCATGAAACAAAATGTGTATGAACTGGTGTATGGAAAATGAATTTGCTCTGAAAACTTTCACCCAAATTACAATAAAAAAAATTTAAAAATATATTATCTACTGTGTCCCAGGTTTCTTTATTTAAGAACAAAGTGATGAGTGATGTGGAGATTTAAATCAAGAGCATCATTGAACTTCACCTTCCCTCTAACCAGTTACCCCAAATCTCCTGCCCCACCCTTTGTGTTCCCAATTCGTTTCTTCCTTAGTGAATGAAGAATTTAACCCCAAAAGCCCTGGTACAAACCCCAGGGTCCCGTTTCCCCAGCTTCTCCCCTTTCCTCTGCTACCCAGTTCTGGGGAAGGGTAGGCACCTCAGTTTGAATGCATGGGAGAGCCCAGAGGGGTGACCTGGACAGGGGTGAAGGCTTCCCCCTCAGTGAAAGGGACCGAGGAGTACAGAGTAGTAAAGTGAGGGCCTCCATAGCCTGGGGTACCAAAATGGGGCCCTGGGGCCAGAGGAAAAGACATCGGTCCCCCTGGGAAAGGAGACCCAGCTGCCTCAAAATCCTCTCGTTGGGAGTAGTCACTGCTTGATCGTTTGCCCTTCTGGCGTCGGTTACAAAACCACACTCGGACAACCTGGGGGTGGACACAGAGGAGAGAGTCAGATTAGATCATAAGCTCCAGGAGGGTGGGGCTGGCTCTGCTTGGTCATTACAGGCATGCCTTGAAGATACTGGGAATTCAGTTCCAGGCTACCGCAATAAAGCGAGTCACAATGTTTTTGGGTTCTCAGTGCATATAAAAGTTATGTTTACACTATAGCCTATTAAAGGAGCTCTGATGGTGTAGAGGTTAAAGCATTGGGCTTCTAGCCAAAAGGTCGATGGTTCAAAGCTACCAGCTGCTCTGTGGGAAAAAGATAAGGCAGTCTGCTTTCATAAAGATTTACAGCCTTGGAAACCCTATAAAGCAGTTCTACCATCGTATAGAGTTGCTATGAGTTGGAATGGACTCAATGGCCGAGGTTTTGGTGTGGTTTGGTAGTCTATTAAGTGTGCAACAGCATTATGAAAAAGTTTCAGATATTGTATGAAAATCACCAAAATGTGACAGAGACATGAAGTGAGCACAGCACATGCTATTGGAAAAAGGGTGCTAATAGACTTGCTTGACACAGGTTGCCATCAACTTTCAATTTGTAAAAAGGACAGTATCTACAAAGCATAATAAAGCAAAGCACAATAAAATGAAGTATGGCTGTATATCCAAAGTCAACAGGGTGGTTGGAGGAGAGAAGCCAGAGCTAGGGAAACAGGAGGGCGAGTGGGGAGAAGTAGGAAATAGAGCTGACAGGGCTTGCGCACTCACGTCCTTCTCAAGCCCGAGCTGCTGGGCGATGTGGCCGATCTGCTGCAGCGAAGGTTTTGGACACTGCAGGAACAAACTCTCCAGGCTGCCTCTCACTCGGTTCTCGATGCTAGTCCGCTTTCTCTTTCGAGCCTGCTGCAGGAGGGTCTCCGTTTTGCATATCTAGGCAGGTGGAGAGGAGAGGGAGTGACAAGGGAGATGGAAGGGCAGGCCTTGGATGAGCTGAGCTACACCACCAAAGGGCCAATGACCGGGATGGCTCAAGGAGCACAGACTAGACATGTCACCAGACCCAGGAAGTATGTATGACAAAGAAGAATCTAAAAGGTTGGTTTAGACCTATGGCTGCAGACCTTGTCCCAGAACTGAGAAATCACACCCCCTCCCGTTGAGAAATGCTGCCCTGAGAAGAGCTGCAAGCAAAGGATGGAAGCAATGCAAATGGGACTGGTGGCAGATCCCTGTGCATCCCTCCTGCACTTACCTCCTGGAGGTTTTCGTTGTTGTCTGCCTCCTCCACCCACTTCTGTAGCAGGGGCCGCAGCTTACACATGTTCTTGAAACTGAGCTGCAGAGCCTCAAAACGGCAGATGGTCGTTTGGCTGAACACCTTCCCTAGAGAAGGCCAATTGAAAGAGAGGCAAGTTGAGGCAGCATGCAGAGCCCTGAGGACCTTGAGATCCAAGCCTTGACTCCTAGGGTCCCATCCTGTAAGCCCAGTTATCTTCCTCCCCCACTCCTCTCCTTCATGGTTGGGGATAAAACCCCGCTGCTGAAACACACACACACATACACACACACACACAGCTCCCTTAAGTAAAGGTCCAAGTTCAGGAGGGGGGGGTGGCCTGTGGGTCAAAACATGTTGAGTGGACTCACCAAAGAGAACCCCCAGAGTGAGCCCCACATCAGCCTGGGTATACCCCAGCGTGATCCTCTTTTGCTTTAAGAGTTTAGCAAATTGCTCAAGGTCTTTCTGTCGAGTTTTGATGTCCTGGGACTGCAGTTTAAAAGAAAAAGAAAAAGAAAAGACAGGACTCAAAAACAAAATGCCCAAGTTACCTACCCTTCCTCCCCGTTTTCTTCCTCTATCTCCTACTACCTTTTCTGACCGTGGCCCCAAGCAATCATCTATGGAAATATCTCTGCCGCCCAGACTACCCACCTAACATCATCTACAAATGTCATGCAATCCTTTAACTCCTCACTGATTCACACATGACAAGGGACCTTTCTTCCTCCAGAAATCTACACATCTGGTAGATG